GGGTGGGGGGCTGGGAGCACCCATGTGCCAGGGATCTGCCTCTGTGGTGTATGGCACGTGGGCCACGGAGGCACGTGTCTGCCCGCGGCACACTCGCCTGGGAGCAGGAGCTGAGGGTCTTAGCTATGGATGAACTGTGGCCACCTCTGAAAGTGCACGTGGGCAGAGGAGCTTGCGTATGTGAGGATGAGGTGTCTGAAAGTGAGGGACATGCAACAGGGTGGCAGAGACTCATGGTATGTGGGACTGGGTGTGTAGGTGCCTAGTGTCCTGAGTACCCGGAGGACATGTATGTGATCAGGTGCATGTATGACACATGCATGATGCTCACTGCATACATCAATACAACAACTGACACTGTGAGGTGGCTTGTGCAGCCTGTGACTGACTTCCCAAACCTGCACATGCTTTCTTGTGCACACAGACAAGTGGACACAGGTATTCTGAGTGTCACATGGAGCTATCCATTCACGTGACAACATACACATGCCTTGGAGTGGGAGCTTATGGAGGTGACACATATGTGCATGGGTGTGGCCTGAACGGGAAAATATATTCACCCACTGAAGAGAACCGGTGACATATACATGCACACATGCATGAGAATGTTTGTGGATACATTGCATGCCTTGTACGCAAACATAGATGCACACATGAATGCTTGCCTTCATTGCATACATAACATGCTGGTCTGTGATTGCATTTGCAGACCGACAGGATATCCTCTGTGTGCTCAGCGGTGCACATGCATCTCTGCATGGCAGACACAGGCGGAAACATGTCTTAGGTTGTGCCGTGTGAGCGCATCCTGTGCCGGCATTCTCCTGCAACCACTGGAGCGTGAACTCCCACTTCAACCCAGGGCTGACAGGGCCACATTTGCAAAATGCTCAGAGGCTAGTGACAGAGCTGGCTGGAGCACGCTGGCTGGCAGGAGGTAAGTGGAGCTGCTGATTCGTGACCCGGGCGTGGGCGGTGATGACGGCTGGCTGACGGATGCGGGTGCCCAGCCGCCCCCTGTGACAGCAGCCGGCTCTTTGAGTTGCCTGAGTCAGGGAGGCAGGCATTGGATCTTGACCCGTGCCGCTCAGGCTGCCTTCCTCTCTCTCTCTGCTTTGTGTCCACGGCCACGTGAGGACACATTAGTATAGACCAGAGATTCAGACCAGTGGTGGATGGTGGTGGACCAGCCTACACCGCCTCCATCTTGTTCCCAGACCCGTCCTCTTCCTGGAGTGTCATCTTCTGTCCTTGGCTGCTTCTCTGTCCTCTCTGTGTCCCACCTCGTCTGGTTCCTGTGCAGAGCTATGGCTGGGTGGGCGTGGGTGGGTGTTTGTAACAGTCCCAGGCCCACACTGTCTCCTTCCTTCCTTCCTTCCTTCCTTCCTTCCTTCCTTCCTTCCTTCCTTCCTTTCCTTTTTTTTTTTTTTTTGTTCTTTTGAGACAAGTTCCCATATAGCGCAGTCTGGTCTTGAACTTATTGTGTAGCCAAGAATGACCTTGAACTTCTGATCCCCTGCCTCTACCTCCTGAGTGTGCCTGTGCCCCCACGTCTGGTTCATGCAGTGTTGGGGATAGAACTTAGAACTTGGTGCATGCCAGGTGAACACCCTATTGACTCAACTACATGTGCTGCCCGGGCTTTGTGCACTTGAGCAAAGGTCTCTGCATCTGTGAACTTGGGGTTCCTTGTATCAGCTTTGTAAAACAGGGGCTCAAAAGAGCCACACTTTTTTTTTTTTTGTATTTTTTTTTTTTTTTTTGGTTTTTCGAGACAGGGTTTCTCTGTGTAGCTTTGCGCCTTTCCTGGTACTCGCTTTGGAGACCAGGCTGGCCTCGAACTCACAGAGATCCACCTGGCTCTGCCTCCCAAGTGCTGGGGAGCCACACTTTTAAATGGAACAGGCCACAGGTATGTGAAGAGGTAGACACGGAACAGAATTAGTCTCATATGGTGCTGCTTAATTAGTCAGGCATGCAGCAAGTGCTACATAAGTGTGCTGCCGTCACCATGGCCAGTACATCACTGTCACTCAGCCTGATTTTTCACTGGAGACCTCCCGTCTTCTCTCACGGTGATGCTGGTGACAAGGTGGATGGTAACACGAGGGGATTTTTGTTTGTCTTTCGTTTTCCTAGTGGCCTTGTGCAGAGGGCAGACATTATGAACAGAAGGCCTTCATCTCTGAGCTCCCAGGCAGAACTGGCTGTGCCTTTTTGGTGCCTGGCGCTTGATTGGTGGCACTATTCTCTGCCTAAAACAGGCAGACAGTTTGGGACTCCTGGGGGCCTTGTGAGACCAACCATTGAAGGCTATGTACCCCATGAGATCTTTTACAGTCACCCCAGCTCATCAGAGACACTAAGAGGGTGTGAGTGGGCACTGTTTAGAACCTGGGAAGGGACCGAACACATGGATGCCTTAGTGTCTCGGGGAAGCAAGAACTAGGCAGCAGATGGGATAAAGGGAACTGGGGCAGGTGGGAGCCTTTCCTTGTAGCCCCACCCCAGAGCCAGCAGAAATTGCCAGAGGCTTGAGGACCACAGACTGGGTAGGTTGGCAGTGGTACGTGGGTGGTGACATTCAGAGAGGCCAGCACATGCTGAGGGTTGACAGTGTGCCTTGCCCCAGGGCTGCGGACTGGGTGGCATCACACCAGAGCACCCATCGTTAAGCATGACCATCTCCACTTCTTTTAACCTGTTCGACTTGGACCGAGGAGTCATCTTCTCTTTGCGTCTCGGTTTCCTTGTCTATAAACCGAGGTTACCCATTGGTTACGAGCTAACTCTGGGCAAGTGTTCAATGCTGGATATTAAGATGGCGTTCTGACCTCACCATCACCTCGTGGAGTCGCTGTTCGAACAACTTGTGCGCTTGCTCTGATGGGTAAGAGAATGGAGGTGCAGAGGGAATGAACAGGTTGTTCAAAGTCACACAGCAGACAAAGTAGCCTTTCCACTCTGTGACCTTCCCAGGTCATGGGGAGAGTTTGGGCCGTGACATTGTATCCTTCTGAATGGGTCATCTCCCTGCTTGGGGGGATCGGAATCAGTCAAGGCAACCGTGTGTGTGTGTGTGTGTGTGTGTGTGTGTGTGTGTGTGTGTGTGTGTGTGTGTGTGTATACAGAACAGGCTTGGGGTGAGCCCTGCCTTGCCCCAGCTCTTAATAGCTGGGTGACCTTGAAAGTCACCTTGTTCGCCCCAGCCTCAGTTTTCCTCTTGGCAAGGGACATGACAATGAGCAGCCTCAGAGCTGTCTCTGGGCTCTGTGAGAGCTGGGACCGCAAATGCTCATTTGCTGTATTAACTACAGGAGTTGGGGGCTGAGGGTCCCTTGTAGCAAGAATGTGACTCCCACATCCCCTACCTCACTCACCACCCATGTCCCTGCCATCAGTCACCACAGTGGTCCTCAGAACATGGATCGATGTCTATAGAGCTATGATTGTAAGACAATAGTGGCCTCCTGAACTCCCTCTCAGTCCCCTAGGTGAATCAATGGTTGCACGTGGGCCTGGTGTGAATCCCAGCTCTTGCAGGCTGGGCCTCCTTCACCAAGGTTCAAGGTGAGCAAAGCCACAGGTTCCTTAGTCCAGCCTTCAAGATCTTTCCACAGCCTTCCCCGACTCAGCCTCCTCCTCCTGGTGAGCCAGCTCAGGGAACCACCTGCTTTGCTGGAAGCAGCCTCGTGCTGCCACCTACCCAACCCAGCCTTTGCAGATGCTGTCGTGCCTCTTGGGAGGCCCCCCGCTTGCCTGGCCACCTCATCCATCTCACACTCATGCTTCAAGACCCAGCAGGCGCCAGGAATTATCTACTCTCTCTCCCGTACTCCTGGGGCTTCACTGTTCAGTCTCCTTCATCAAAGGTGTTATCGCAAGCGGCCTCTGTCTTTTCCTCTCGGGTCTTGAGCTACAGGAAGGCAGGAACTACTTACCAGGGCCAGCGAGATGGCTTACGGGGTGAAAGAACTTGGCCACCTGAACTGGGTCCTGGAACCCACCATGGAATGAGAGAACCAACTCCTGAAAATTGTCTTCTTTCCATGTGGGATGTGGTACACACACACACACACACACACACACACACACACACACACACACACTAATGTACCCCTAATAAAATAACAATAATGATAACGATGATGATAATAATAATAAAACTACCTATCTGTGTAACTTTGGGCATGTTGTTGTTGTGAGCCTGTTTCCTGGTCTCTGAATTAGGGTGGGGTGTGTGGTGGCATTCAGGGCACACCAGCTACCTCTAGATCACCGCTGTGGACCTTTTTGGCATGGAGAGAAGGAGCGGGAGTTCCCTGGGAGGGTGACAAGGTAAGCAAGAAACATTTACTGAGTACCCCTTACATGTCAGGGAGGCGCTGAGATCGGAGCTCGGCATCCACTACCTCCTTTTCAGCATCCACGACCCCCAGCAGACGGCCTGGATGAAGGGTTGCCAGATATCAGGAGCTGGAATCCATGCCAGGCCCATGGGTAATCACTGAGTTACCCCAGAGGGGCTGGGAAGGAGGACAGAAGACAGCCATTATCTTATAAACAGGGTCTCATGTAGCCCAGGCTGCCTCAAACTCATGAAGCAGCTGGGGGTGTCTTTGAACTTCTGATCCTCTCGCTTTTCCCTCCCAAGTGCTGCTGGGATTACGGGTCTGGGCCACTGCACCCAGGCCAGGAGAACCTTAAGTTGGAGGGAAAGACCCCAGCTCCCGCAACAAACAGATAACATCACCACTGTGCACAGCCTTTTCTCTCCGCCCAAGCTCATCTTGTTTTAGCATCCTTGCCAGGGGGCTCATGCTGATGTAGCCCAAGGAGCAGGACGATTCTGCAGTTGCTAGGCACATCTGTTTCCCCTCAGAGGAGGACCAGGGGCTGACAGCTGGGACCAATTCCTCTTCCCTTGGAGATGTTGGGAGGAGGCAGAGGGTGAGGGAGTGAGCTCAGACACACGGGCCTCCAGCAACCACACGGATAAGGATAGTAACAAAGGCGAGCATTTATTGAACACCTACTCTGTGCCAGGCACTGCCCAATGACTTGACACCTGAACCCTTTCCATCCTCTCAAATCTTCGAGGTAGGTGCTGTTATTAACCTCATTTGACAGATGAGGAAACTGGGGCCCAGAGAAATGAGGTGACTTGTCCAGGCAGCTGGCCAGTGCCAGAGGCTCCGCCACTCACTGTCTGCGAGTCCCCGGGCAGGTCACAACCACTTCTCTGGGGGGCTTTCCTATCTTGGCACCTTTGGAACGCCACCTCATAGTTTCTACAGCAATGCAGTCGGTCTCTGGGTAGCTCCCAGCACACAGTAGGTGCTTAGTAAATGACCAGCCCTTCCTTCATCTTTACTTGAATGCCAGAAAGCCTTGGGGTGGGCACGGCAGCAGCGCCCTCCTCCGCTTTCTCTTCCCAGGTCCTTTCCCAGCACGGGGGTTCTCCCTCCGCGGTCCCTTCCAACCCCAGGGCTGCGCAGGCCGGGTTCCCCTCCCTTCTCCTGACGTTGGTCACCATCCCGCACCCCTGAGTCCTCGCAAGCTTCACCCCTTGGGGGCGCGTCGCGGCGCGGGAGCCATGCAGGTCCCCTCCCGTCGGGCCGCGCTGCCGGACTGGCCCGGTTGGGGCTAGGAGGCCGGGGCCTCGTCGTCGCCACGGTGGCCGGCGTAGAGCGCGGCCAGCGGTCGGAAGCGCGGGCCCCAGGCGCGGAGAAAAGCGAAGTCCTGCTCGGAGCCGGTGGAGCCGCTGTGCAGCGAGCTGAGCGAGGCAGCGGGCGAGCCCGCGCCCTCGAACGCGTAGGTCTGGAAGGCGTCGTAGGGCGGCACCGACAGGTCCGCGTCCGCCAGCGCCACCTTGCGGCTGATGAAGTCCCTGAACACCGAGAAGTCCGGCTCCGGGCTCGACGGGCCCCGAGGCAGCGAGTGGCGCTCGGAGGAGGAAGCAGCCTGTGGGGGACTGGCCGCTCCCCCGCCCGCGTCGCCACCCTTGAGCTCCCCGAAATCGTAGAGGCTCCGCAGCGCTGACATGTCGTAGGCCTCGGTGTCCTGCTCGCCGCCGCCCTCGTCGTTGTATTTGATCACGTTGTCCCGCATGTCCTCATCCACGTCCGAGCTCAGGTGGCTCTTGTGGTGACGCCTGAGGGTGAGGATTAGCAGAGCCAGCACTACGGGGTGGGGTGGGGTGGGGGGAGGGAACAGGGAGACAGAGTGAGGGCTGAGCTCAGCACAGGACACTGCCTGGCCTCCCTCCATCCCCCAATCCGACAGCAGAGCTTCATCATCCCTAAAAGTTCCCTAGGTTTCCCCTTTCTTTCTTTCTTTCTTTTTCTTTCTTTCTTTCTTTCTTTCTTTCTTTCTTTCTTTCTTTCTTTCTTTCTTTCTTTCTTTCTTTCTTTCTTCTTTCTTTCTTTCTTCTTTCTTTCTTTTCTTTCCTTCCTTCCTTCCTTCCTTCCTTCCTTCCTTCCTTCCTTCTTTCTTTCTTTCTTTCTTTCTTTCTTTCTTTTTCTTTCTTCCTTTCTTTCTTTCTTTCTTTCTTTCTTTCTTTCTTTCTTTCTTTCTTTCTTTCTTTCCTTCCTTCCTTCCTTCCTTCCTTCCTTCCTTCCTTCCTTCCTTCTTTCTTTCTTTCTTTCTTTCTTTCTTTCTTTCTTTCTTTCTTTCTGTTTCCTGTTTCTTATATGGTGAGAACTGAGCTGCCCCTCCAGGTAGGTGGTGAGCTATTCATCTCAGGAGGTATGCAAATTTTTATTTATAGGACTAGAGGGACAGGGGTTGCCCAGCAGAGCTGTGGATTTACACCCGATTTGAGGGCCAGCCATCCTCGGCTCTAGACACTGTAAGGTTGAAGGCACCTGTCTTCTGTCCTTGCCCGCCTCTGTCCACCCCAGAATTCTCTGCTTCCCATTCAGTGTCTCCGTCAGGACCCCCAGGGTTCTCTCCCCAAGGGCTCTAGCCAGGTCCAGTGACCCAGCTCCAGGCCCTGTGGAAGGAAGGTCTCGTCCTTGTCTCCTAGTTCTCAGTGTGGCCGCCCCACCAGCAGCAGCTGCAGGGAATTCTTGTCAGCGGGGTCCTCAGTGGGTTCTAGATCTGCTTCTGAGGTCTTCCCTTTTTCTCATCTCAACTAAAGAAGGACGGCCTACCACAGCCCAGGTCCGCCAAGTTAACCCCAATAAATGTCCTCTGGGACCTGAAAATGTCCCCCTGGCTTAGTGCCTGGTATGGTACAAGAATTGGATGTGTGCTTGCTAAGTGAATGAATGAATGAACGAATGAACATGGAGTTGCCTGCAGACCTGACTGTGAGAGGGAGTGAATAACTGATTCTCTACGCTTCTTGTCTTCCTTCATCTGGCCTCCAAGACTTCACATTCCTCTTCTCTTTCTCCCACCGTGTTTGTCCTCCAAACAGCCCCCACCCCTGCTTCCCCAGCTCCCTAGCAGTCTTCCCAGGACCTGTTCCTCCATAACTCTCCCTCACTTGGCACTGTCCTGCAGGCCTGTGGCTTTAACTTCCCTCTAACAACTCCAGTATCTCTGGCCCCAGCCTGGACCTCTCCCCTGAAATCCAGATTCAATCAATTGCCAGTCCTCTTGGCTGACCAAGAGAATCTCAAACTCCGCACACCCAAAGTTGAAAGAAATAATCTCTTTCCCACTAACCCCTCTCCCTGCACCAGGGCTCAGGGAACGTGATCGTAAAGGGGGAGGAGAGCATGTAGGAGCTGGAGGGCAGGAGGTGTGCAGAGCTGTCTTCTGGACTTGGCTGTCACATTCACAACAGCTGTGCACAAGATCAAGCCAGTCCACATTCCAGCAAGGACAGGGGAGGGGCCAGCAAGGTCCCACCCTTAGCCTTAAAGCTGGCTGGAGCTGAGAGAGGAAGAGTCATTTTTCCTCAGGGGTCTGGTCCCTAGCAGGCTGCCCAGGCCCCAGTGGATGGCCACACATGCAGGCGGCACTCACGGGACTCAGTGGGCTCTTATAGAGGAGACACAAAGAGGACCTGAGGGCGGGAAGGGGACATGTAGGGGAGGTCTGGGGGGTTGTGGGTGGATACAACCCAGATACATTGTACATATGTATGAAATAAAGAAAAAAATTAATTTGGTTTATTTTGTGTGTATGGGTGCTTTGCTTGCCTGTATGTCTGTGCAGTATGTGTGTAGTGCTGGTCGATGCCAGAAGAGGGGTCAGATCCCCTGCACGTGCAGCTACAGACGGTTTGTGAGCTGCCATGTGGGTGCTGAGAATGGAACCCAGGGTCCTCTGGAAGAGCAGTCAGTGCTCTTAACTGCTGAGCCATCTCTTCAGCCCCAAGAATGAATTAAAAACAAAACAAAACAAATCTCTTAGCCAGGTGGTGGTGGCACATGCCTTTAATCCCAGCACTCGGGAGGCAGAGACAGGTGGATCTCTGTGAGTTTGAGGCCAGCCTAGGCTACAGAGTGAGATCCAGGACAGGCTCCAAAGATACACAGAGAAACCCTGTCTCAAAAAACAAAAACAAAACAAAACAAAAAACTCAAAAACAAACAAACAAAAAACCTCTTGCTCAGTAATGAACCCTATTGTGGAAACAGTCAGCACCTTAGAGGGATTCACTGGATGGATTTGTAAATAAATGATAATGGATAGATGGATGGAAACATGCATGGACAGACACATGCTAAGCACTGTGGCAGGGTTTAGAATTTTCTTGCAGCCCCAGACAGATGCAGCCAGGCCTGTGGCCAGAGCCAGCTGTGAGGGCCACAGCACAGGGTACGAGCTCACCACCTAACATGGTAGCTTACCACAGGGGAGGGAGCGGGGGCTGGAGACAGGCCTTGAGGGAGGGCTGGAGGGAAGGACGGTGTCAAGAGAGAAGTGGAGAAGATGGATGGACAACGTTTGGAGCTGGAGACCCGGAGCTGTGGAGGGGATGCCCACGAGAGCAGATGGCAGGGATTGTGGGCGGCGGCGACAGATGTGCCAGACCTGATCAGAGATTCCGCCCGTCACCTTTAGAGCACTGATGTGCACTTTCTTCGTTTGTGGGCAATTAGGCAGAAATTTGTTTGCACTGCTTCGGAAAATGAAACCGCTGTAAAGTGCACCCACTGGAAAAAGGATTTCTGAGCCGTGGGCTGTGGTGGGGAGGGAGGGGCTGCACTCCTGGCTAGGCAGGGTCTGTCCAGAGCCTCTGCAGGGATCTGAAGGGGCAGAGTAGGTCACTGGAGGGTGGGCAGCACAAGGGGGTTGTCATCTGGGGGACCGGGCAGGGCTGGAGAGCACGGTCCGCAGAGAACTCCCAGCTTGGGCTGTTCTGTCTACAGTCTGCACTTGGGTGGCTGTTCACATCTCTTCTTACCAGGAATACTGGGGTTCAAGTGGCTTCCAGTACCAGTGTCCCCAGTGTCTAAAGATGTTCCAAGTGCCCTAAGGTGCTGTTCCCAGTTTTATTCCATGGCAGGTGGCAGAGTTAGAGGTGGAGACACAGACTAAGGAGACCTAACCTGTGTCACCTTAGCCAAGGCACATAACCTCTGTGAACCTCAGTTTCTTCATCTGAGAAATGGGTTGATACACCTGGCCATGCAGCCATGCTTCTCTTTATGGAAAACTAAGAAGGGCACTAGACAAGAGAATTTTAGAAATATGCTTGGTTCCCGACCTCTTTGAAGCAAGGTTCCATGTCCAATAGGTTTGTCTCGAACTCCCTGTATAGTCAAAGATGACTAACTTCTGATACTCTTGTCTCTTGACTTCTGAGGTGTTGAGATCACAGCCCTGCATTATCATCCTCGATTTATGCAGTACCAGGGATTGAACCCAGGGCTTCATGTATGCTGGGCAAGCACTCTACCAATTAGACCACACCTCAGCTCCCTGTTTCTTTTTATTGATAAGGGGTGTCATTCTGTAGTCCAGGTTGGTCTGGAACTTACAACATAGCCCAGTCTGGCCTCTAACTTACAGCAATCCTCCTGCCTCAACTTTCCAAGTGCTGAGATTATAGGAATGAGCCACTGGCCTGGGCTGTACATGTGGTTTTAAACACTAGGGAGTCTTGAGCTGTGTGAGGGGCACTGCATAAACTCTGTCCCAAGTAGGCCACCATCTGCACTTCAGAGACTTCCCACAGGAGGTAGAGGTCAGAGATGGTTCTAGCCAGCCTATCTTTATGTAGGGGAGACCGAGGCTCCTTTCCCAGGCTGTGGTCTATCTGGGCAGGATACCCGGGTCCAACAATGGTGGGATGCTCTTGGACTCACCGACCAGAATGAGGACACAGACCAAGAGAGCGATTAGCGCGCCGGGGCTGAGGGAGGCAGCCACGACAAAGGCCGTGGTGTTGCAGGACTGGATGGTGCCGGAGCTGTCACAGCCGCAGATGCGGATGGTGAGGGTGCCCGTGCTGCTCAGTGTGGGTGGCCCGCTGTCCACAACAAGGATGGGAAGGAGGAACACATCCTGCTCTTGCCGGTTGAAGCCCACGTGCTGTGTGTGCACGGCAGCTGTGTTATCTGCTCGGAAGAAATGATCAGTGTGTGACTCAGGGCTGGGCCAGACCCCGGTGCAGCCACATCCTGATGCCACCTTGAGATCTGCCTCTTCACACCCCAAACTGCCACCTCTCCAAGGATCCTATCCCCTTAAATCTCCAATTCTGCCCCAGCTGCTGAAAATCCTCTAGCTCACAGAGCCCATGGGTGTCCTCAGCTGTCCCTGGATTCGGTTCCCAGCTGTCTTAAGTGTATTTTCATCAATTCTAAGATTTTTTTGCTCCCAACTGTGCCAAGGTACTATTCCCAGCTAATCCGAGATTCTGTCCCCAGCTGGACCAAGGTCCTGGCCTTGGCTATGCCAATTTTTTTCCCCATTGATCTCAACAGCTTGCCTTGTTTCAGATTCTACTCCCATTTCAAATACACTCTGCTTTCAGGAGTCCCCTGGTCTTTGGTTGTGGTTTGCTGGACCTTGACAAATCCAAGGTCATCAGAGGTGGCTGGCAACCCTGGCTGTCACGTGCCTGTGGCTGAGGGGTCTTTCTGCCCTCCATGTTACTCAGAAGTTCTGGAGCGTGGGGTCTCATTAAGAAGCCGAGCTTCCAGGGTTGGGGCACAGCCTTCATAACCAGATGAGGGGACCGTAGAGCCTCAGTCTCCCTACCCAAAGTTTTCCTTTTTACACAGGTGATCAGAGGGAGGGTTGAACTACACAGTGGTGCCTATTGCCCAGCCTCATCTTGCTGTAGACCAGGAAGAACTGGCCAAGGGCAGATGGTCTTGTAGCATAGGCTGAGTGGCAGGTGGCACCCACTTCCTCTCCTTTTCTTGCCTCCTCCACATCTGTCCCACATGTGCCAGGCAGTATTGACCCTTGCTTTCTGGGGGCACCTCTCAGTCCTGCACAGTGTGGGGGTCTGAAGGGCTCAGAGCCCCAGAATTGACACTCCATCTCTGTTGCTGACCTACCGCTTGCCTGCCAGGCCCAGCTCTCCTTAACCTTGTTGTCAGTGTGGGTTCTCACTGGAGACCTTGGGAGCCCAGTGTTGTGGGTCCCAGGTAGCTCTAGGAAACCTATGCTTGTGTGGAGAGGCAAATTAAGATCTTCCTGGGGCTAGTTTGGAAGGAAATCTGAGCCCAGGGCAGAGCCAGTTTCCCCCCTGCCGCTCTTTCTCGATAGTTCCTGCTTCCTAATAGTTTCCCAAGTCTGGTCTTCTTTACCATGGACACAATGATGAGGAAAGAGCCCTTGGAAAGACTGATTCATGACCTTGGACACACATAGGAGGTGGGCAGAGGTCCAGATGTGACAAGATGGACCATGAGGCTCAGTGTCTTATTCTACCCACTGTTATGCACGTTTGAACATTTTCGTGCAAACGTTAATAACACTGTATGCATCATGCGCTAGCTCGCTCGGTCCTCAATGCCCTCATCAGTAAACAGAACCAGAGTCTCACCTAGTGGTGAGGATGGAATAGAATCGTTCCCAGCACACAACAATTCCTCATAAATGCTGGTTAATAGTTCTCCCACGTGCCGCACCCCACACCTGCTCCCTGTCTGGATGTCCCTGCCTTGCTCTGCAAGTCTCCACTTCTGGGACATCCTCTCTGCCTTCTTGCTTGGGAAAATTCCTCATCCATCATGTTTCAGCTAGATATCACCTCTTCTCATGGCCTCCTTTCTCCACTTCCCTGGGAAGGAGGGATTTACGGCTCCAACGCCATGCTTTGATGACTCGGGCCCATGCACAGTTCTGTTTTGGCACTGGTCACCTTGTAAGAAGCAAATATGTGCCTGTTTCTCCACTCCTGGCCAGCCGGAGCCTGGCCCTATGCCAGTCTCAGGGAACAAAGTTTGAAGGGACCACACTCTTGGGCTAAGTGGCGGCCGTGGGTCTGCTCCTCAAGTTCTGGCTTGGCCTCAGGAGCCTCCTGTGAAAGGTTGAGGCAGGCTAAGAAAACACTGTGTCCTGCCAGGAAAGAAAGGAGGTTCAAGTGTAGAGGGCAGAGAAGAGGATGCGGATGGGGCTGCATCAGCACCAGCTGGATGCTTCTCAGATATCAGCCTGTGGGCATTTGAAACACACAGTCAGCTCTTCTAACCATGGCTGGAGCAGGGTCTCCCCTGGTGGATGTGGAAACTAAGGCTCAGCAAGAAGTGGCATGGTGGCTCAGGAGATAATGGAACTCACACCAAGCTTGATGACCTCGGTTCCACCCCTAGGACCCACATGATGGACGGAGAGAACCCACTCACACAAGTTATCCTGTGACCTCTTAAGGTCATGTGGCATGCCTCCCCCATCCCACTCAGGACACAAAATTGATAAATGTCATTAAAAAACTTTTAAAGAAGTGACTATGGGGTTGGAGCGATGGCTCAACTGCTGGGAGTACATATATTGCTCTTGTGGAGGGCAGGGGTTCCTGGCACCCATATTGGGTACCTCACAATGGCTGTAACTCCAGCTCCAGGGGATCTCATGCCTCTGACCTCCACCAGCACTTGCATTCATGTACACGCACACACACACACACACACACACACACACACACACACACACACACACACACACCACTTTAAAATGAGAGTAGTGGCTTGTTTCTTCATCATCCATCTGTCTATCCATCCATCCTTTATCTATTCATTCATCCACTCATCCATTCATCCATCACCCATCTATAGACCCACCCATCAATTCATCCACCCTCCATCATCCATCTATAGATCTATCTACCCATTCATTCTCTAGCTCTCATGTATATACATCTGCCTTCCACTTTCCATCATCCACCCATTGTCCATCCATCTACCCATCTATTCTCTAGACTTCATACATACATCCACTTCCCATCATCCATCACCCTCTACTATCCATCCACAGATCTATATACCCATCAATTTGCTAGTTTTCATACATTTGTCCAACTTCCAGCATCCATCCATTCATCCTCTATCTAGTCACCATCTTCCATCTACGATCTCTCTGCCCTCCAGCACTCACCCACCCACCATTCATTTATTCATCCACCCTCTGTGCTCCACCTTCCCATCCACTTTTCATCATTTACCTGTCCACTCATTCATGCAGCCTCCATCTACCCACGTATTCCTCCTTATCCATCCATCCTCCTTCCGCCATCAATTGCCTGTTCACCCATTCATGCATCCTCTATCTACCCATGTATTCCTCCCTATCCATCCATCCTCCTTCCGCCATCCATCAACTTCCACTTGTTCATTCATCTTCCCTCATTTTCCACCTACTAATCCATTTCCTTCCTTCTTTCCCTCCCTCCCTCCCTCCTTCCCTTTCCTCTTTCTCTTCCTCTCTCTTCCTTCTGCAGCTCTTCATTAAGGGCTGCCAGCCAGGCTGCCTGCTGGCTGCCGAGGGGAAACAATGGAGAGCTAAATCAGCTGTTGCCTGGATCCAGAGAGCTTAGCTGCTAATGTAAGAGACAAACACTAACTGAAAGAGCCCACAGCTCTGTCTAGGATTGCAAACCATGGGAGGACTGGGAAGGGCCAGTGGAGGAGGACATGTGAGAGGACCCGACCGTGCCTGGGAGCTCAGGGGGAAGTGATAGAATCCAAGTGCAAGTTCATCCCGGGTGGGCAGGTCCAGAAACGAGAAGAGCCCAGTGCTGGTGCTGAGGCTAGAGCATAGCCTGTGGCTGGAGGGAGGCAGAAGCCCATCCAGGGAAGTTTAGCAGGCCAGTTTTCGTAAGGAACTTGAGCTATTTTCTGAGAAGCAACAGGAGGCCATTGATTCGTGGGCTTTAAACTCAAGAAGTGACCCAGGGATATATCATCCATTCATTTCACAGCAAATCTGAACTGAGCACTCTCTATATGTCAGGATTATTCTAGCCCCTGGAGACATGGCTGTGAATAAGAACGACGTGGTTTCTGTCCTGGCTTGAACCTGCCCGGTAGCCAAGGACACTTATAATGGAAAATACAGGCATTGACATGGACTACAGGTCGGAAGCGTTGGTGTGTTTTGTGTGAGACAATAGCGGTAGTGGCAGCAGAGAGAAGTGGACAGATTTGAGAAATGAGCGGCTGGCCCTGGCCCAGCCTCCAATTGCCAAGCAAGACAGAGACGCAGTCTCAGGGTTGCTCTCTCCCACTATGCAGCCAGATGTTTTGAGCACTCAGAGCCTGGCCATACCTCCACCGGGTGGAAGGGGACTCCTGGGGGATTGTCCTGACCCCATCCGGCTGCCTTCCTCTGGGAAGCCACTGACCACCCCAGGCCCGCCCCACCCTTCTAGAAGGGACTCGTGCCCGGGAGTAGCATCCATCCATCTGGCCCGACATCCATCAGCGTCAATCCCTGGCTGCAAAAGCAATATTTATAAATCACATTTCCAAACTGGCTACACATTTGTACAAAGAAGCAGATGGGTCGGGGTAGCCGCTTGTCACCTAAGATATTTATATGTCGAGGAGGTGGGGGGGGGTTGGCATGGTGAGGGAAGGGGCTGAAGGACTGGAGGAAGAGACTTTTCACGGCTGCTCTGACCTCATCAGGCTAAGGTTACCCTGTCCCCAGAGCTTACACTACCTCTACACAACTCCAAAAGGGGGCTCGGAGGTCCCTAAACGAGGAGAAACAGCAGGGATGGAGGCTCAGGCCCCAGAGCTGGGAGGACCCTTGAACTTGGAGAGGCAGGTACAGGACTGACTGTGTCTGTGGGCACCAGCTCAGGGTACCAAGGGAGGGATGTGTGGGCTAAACTGTACTGGTTGTTGAACTACTTCCAAAAAGATTTAAATAGCCATGGCTCTGAGCTGCAGTTCCTCCTACAGCCTTAGCTTTTCTCACAGCCATGCCCCTGCCCTCGGTAGAGGGGCTAATGCCAGACACAGTCGGGGCTCCAGGGTCCAGGGTCATCATTGCCTGGGGTCAGTTGTTAGAGTGGAGGCACTGGATAGTAAAGATTCTTAACATGGCCCTAAGGCTTCTCCCTGTAGGGGTAGGGTCTGAAACACTTGGGAGTGAGCCCAGGCCTGTTCCAGGACCAGAAGGAACCAACATGGTCTGACCCCACCCCCACCCCATGCCTCTTGACTTATCCCTTTCTGGTCCTGTTTTCCACTTATTTGAAACTTGCTACTTCTGCCACCAGACAGTGTTCACTCCGGTTATCTGAGTGGCTCGCTCCCTGGTTGCTTTTAGTTTCTATTGATTTGTGTATGTGTAAGTGCATGTGTGTGTGGTGTATACTGCGTGAGCGTGTACCTGCGGTGTACCTGCCTGTGTGTGAGAGGCAGAGGTCAGTGTCATGTGTCTCCCTCGATCTTTTTTCACCTTAGTTTTTGAGGCGGGGTGTTGTTGGCCTGGAACTCACAGATTAGACTAGGCTAGCTGGGGGCAAGTTCCCAGGATCCTCCTGTCCTTGCCTCCCAATGACAGGGTTGTAGAAACATGTTACCGTGCCCAGCTTACATGGGTACTAGGGATTTGAACTGAGGTCGCCTACTGAGCGGTCTCCCCACCCATTTCATTTGCCCACGCATTATAGGTCCCTTCAGAGAGGCCTCCCAGACGATCTTTCGTTTTCAGCTTCATGCCACACATTTTATTGAACACCTACAAGGTACCAGCATTGCCCTGAGCACCCAAAGGCCTACGACGAACAGAGAAAGGCCCAGCCTCTTGAGAAACAAGGCTATGTGGTCCCTCCTTCCCTGGTCACTCATCATGTCTGACATATTATTGATTTGTTTAATTTCTGTCTTGCTTCAATAGAATATGAACTCCACGAGGGCGGAGATTCTCTTCCATCTGTCATTGTATTTCCAGGGCCCAGAGCAGAGCTTGCCAAGTAGGAACTATACCTCAGTGGTGCTTAAGAGACTGAAAGTAGCCGGGCGGTGGTGGCGCACGCCTTTAATCCCAGCACTCGGGAGGCAGAGCCAGGCGGATCTCTGTGAGTTCGAGGCCAGCCTGGTCTACAGAGCGAGATCCAGGAAAGGCGCAAAGCTACACAGAGAAACCCTGTCTCGAAAAAAACCAAAAAAAAAAAAAAAAAAAAAAAAAAAAAAAAAAAAAAAAAGAGACTGAAAGTAGAAAGTGAGAGTTCGGGGTCTGCAGTCTACCCTGGTAGCCCTCCTCCCTCGCGGGTACTCGACCACTTGAGGTGGTGTGTATTAGCCCCATTTTCAGGTAACGAAACTGAGGCTTAGAGAGGGCTAGATAGTTGCCAGGAAGTCATGGAGAGCCTTAGCTGAGCGTGGGCTGCCTCCTGGGGTTCTCACTCCTGTCCGTTGACATCTGCCTCCCTCAGCTTTGTTTATAAGATTTCAATGTCAATTTGATGAGGACCATGAGGGACGGAGTGGGGTATCATGAAAGACTCAGCTCAGGCAGGTGGGCAATTTGCTTCTGCAGGGGGAAAACGGAGTCAAGGAACATCTTTACTGTATAGAGACAGGTGTGTGTGTGTGTGTGTGTGTGTGTGTGTGTGTGTGTGTGTGTGTGTGTGTGTGTGTGTGTATCCCATGGGTGTGGATATGAAACCCTCAAGTATAAATGTGAACTGAACCAGAAAGGCTCAGTAAGCATGGACCCTGAAGGACTCTGCAGAACTCTGGGAAGGGACTTCTCCTTCTGAGACAACTGAAATGTGGAGGGATGGGAAAATCGCCCTCCACTGTGCCTGTGAGGATGCCACAGGGGACTTGAGTTGGGGACACTTTGAACCACATGTGTACAATGCTGCCTTCCTCTGTCACTTGGCTCAGGGACTGTCCTCCAATGCCTACCCTACTGCTCCTCTGGATGCTCTTTTAGGGTCGTTTCAACTGACATTCTCTGCTCTTGGGATGCATCTCTTCACTCTGCCAACCCACACCCTGGTTCCTCAGGGCTTGGCCAGTGGCTGGGTGTCAGCAGTGACCTGGCTCATACTCTGTGATCTTAGACCCAGCTCTGGCTCTCATGGAGTCTTAGTTTCTACAGAGGAGGAAGGTAATATGCCAGCCCCCTCTGTCACCCTGAGGGTGGTGGCTTACAGGTAGCTCACCTTGGATGTCCAGCAGAGAAAAATGAGGGTTGCTGGGTGCTTCTGGTACCAGGCGGAAATAGAAGCGGTGACCGCCCTGGGGCTCATCTCTGTCCACTACACTGATGGTCTGGATAAGCTGTAGGGTGGGGAGGGGCAAGTTACATAATGAAGTGGAGTAGGGGCCTCTGGCATGACAGTAACCCTGATCCCCAGTCCCTCTGGGTACCTGGCCTGGCTTGGCATCCTCACACACAGCTGCCTCGTAGGGTGTAGCCAGCTCTGGGGGATTGTCATTCACATCCAGGATTCGGATCCGTAGGGAGGCTCGTGATAGCTGAGCATGATTGTCTGGAAGAAGAGTGAAGAGGAGGGCAAGCTTGAGGGATGAGATTAGACAACTGCCTACTTCTGGAAGATTGGGCAGTGGGGTCACACTGACAGACACTGCGTGATCCAAATGGGGACGAGGACCAGCACAGGGACATCTGGGATTGAGCAATCATACCATGATCCCTATCCCAATCTCCTAAACATCTCCACCACCCTCTGCCACCACCATCTCCACCATTCCCATCCCCACCACCAGTCCATCACCATCCTCTCCATTATCCATCTCTCCACCATGCCCATCTCCACACCTATCCCATCTCCACCACCATCCCCTCCACCATCCATCTCTCCACCATGCCCATCTCCACCACACCCACCCCATCTCCACCACCATCCTCCACCAGGCCCATCTCCATCACACCCATCTCTACCATCACTATATCACCATGACCATTTCCACTATTGCCACTCCATCTCTGTCATTACCATCACCATAACCATCTTTACCATCCTCCTCTCCATCTCCACCATAGTCTTCACCATATCCACCATCCCCATCCCCATTATTAATATTAGCATCAACCCCACTGCCATTACCACCACAACCTCTGTGGCCATGAACAACAGCACTGCTCGTCACTATCACCATCACCACTAGGGGCACCACCACAATCTGGGTCATCACTACTGTTACTGCCACCACCACCATTACCGTATCACTAATGCTACTAAGCCACCACCACGACTACTGGCAACACTGTCTTCCCTGACTCTAGCAGGTAATGGATAGTAGCATCCTCACCACTGTCTCCATCATCCCAGTAGATCCCTATCACCACGTCCATTAGCTCCACCCTCATTATCCCCCCCCCCCCGTCACCCTAAGTACTGAGACCATCACCCTCATGGCCCTGTCCCTCTACCGTCACATCACCAATATTCTAACTTCTGTCATCAGCTGCGCTAGCACCATCTCCAGAGTAGCCACAACCATGACCAGCCCATTAATACCACTGTCACCTCCACCACAATCACCAGTGGCACCCTCAGACAAGCCTCTGCCTCCAACGCCATGTCCCCTCCACTACTCTCTCTGCCCTGTCACCTAGAGAGCACTGAATGCTCCCAGAGCACACATGCCCATCATCCCGCTGCCCTTGTAGATGCCTACTACCATTTGTGTCCCCGGACCATGAAGGAGAAACCGAAATACGTGGGCATGTTTAGACGATGGGTCAGCTGGTGACTGAACCCCCAAATGACTGCTCTCAGCACACCTGCAGGGCCAGATGAGTCCGAGGAGGCAAATTTGGCCAGCAAACAGGATGCCTATAAAGTCAAGCCCCTGTCTTACTTAGCTCTGGGTCTCCGTCTTAGGGCAAAGAGTAGCTTGCCCCTCACAGTCGAGCAAATGAATGGAATATGAAGGGATGGCAAAGAGGCCTGAGTTTCAGGCATGGTTGAACCTCTGACCCAGACCTTGAGCTTAGGCAAGACCCTGACATCAGTTTCTATACCTGCAGAGTGGGCAGGACGTGGTGGTTAAGACTGAGCCCACCTCTGCCGCTTAGGAGCTTTGTGATCTCAACCAAGTGACTTGATTTCTCTATGCTTGTTTTCTCGCTTGCTTGCAGAACAGATCTGCTAAGCGTTAACAGCTACAGAGTGCTTGGAACTGTGCACACAGCACAGAAGACTGGCACACAGGTATCTAGTAAGTAACCAGACATCTGAGAGCTGGCTGCCTCAGCCTGGCCTCTCTGAGCAGTTCCCTGAACACTTCCCGCTACCTGAGTGCTATTGTTAACCCATCCTCAGCTAGCCTGCTCACCACCAACCTTGCCTACCTGCTACTCACTGCAGGTGCACCCCCCAGGAGAGGAAATGGAACCCCAGTTCTAAGCAGATGCTTGGATGATGGGAGTCTCCAGCTGGGTTGGCAGGGAGCTATTTTGGGGGCAGTTTGGGAGATCCCAGGCAGCCAGGCACCCCATGAGTTTTGGAGGGAGTGGACCCATCTGCTCTGAACTCAGAGACCGCTGGATGCTGAGGCAGCTGCTGGAGAGGTGACGGAACTGGAGGTGGGAAGGCAGGTGGGCACCTCTGGGGAAGCCAGGGAGGGAGGAAGACTCCTACATTAGCACTGCTGACCCCCTTCTGGAGTTCCCCTCAGCCAGGCCATGTTATCTCCTCAGTTTATCCAGATCTGCCACCTCAGCAATTAGAGGGGTTCTTCCGGGACTGAGGGAGGGGAGTCGTGACTGGGGATGCCGAGTGAGCCGTTATTTTTAAGAACATGTTGCCAGAGAACCTCCACAGACAGATGGGGTGCTTCTGGAGGGTGGGTGGGGGAGGGGGAGGCAGGCGGGTGTCTGCTTCCCAGCTGACGGTGGAGCTAATGAGGGCCTGAGTATCCTCTCTGGTAGGCTGCCTCTGTAGTAGGGGTGTGGGGCCAGAGGAGAAGTGGGAAAGACCTGGGAGCATGGCAGCCCTCTCATGAAGGGCAGACACCTTTTACCCAGGTTCTACTACCGGGAGTCCCTTGTCACAGTGTGGCTGTGGGTTACACCTGGCCTTCTCTTTCAACATGTCACACATAGGTCACTAGGAGAGCCTTGCCTAAGTGAGGGTCTCAGATCTAAGAGGTGGGCAGCTACTTGAGAGGTGTGCCTCCAAGTTGCCCAGGTTGCTACCTGTAATGTTTGTTCCAGGGAATGGGGGCTGGTCTGGAATCACCATTGCTCCTGACTGGCCCCCATGCCCTCAACATTAGACAATGTTCTCAACCCGGGAAAGTCACTCGGGAAGCCTTAAAAAACACCAGTGCTGAAAGGTTGGCATGGCCCAAGGAGGTTCATTGTGTACCCAGCTCCAAACTCTGCCTTGGGGCGAGGTCTCTGGCCTGGTCAGTTCGCGTCACTCGTAACTAATGATAACCATAAGGCCTGCCTGTAGCACTTTCCAGGGGTCTGTGGCAAAGCAAAGCGCTCAGCAGTGTTTAACTTTGACCTCTTTCCAGTTTACAGCATCCTTTCCTGTCTATGACATCACGTGGGTTTCCATACAACCCATGAAAACGTGATATCAAACCTGTTTTGTAGATGGGGAAACTGAGGGGAGGGCCAGGAACATCCCTGGAGTTGTTCCCAAGCCTCCCAACTCTAAGTGTGTGGTCCAGATGCAATGTCTGGCTCTCCTGCTGCCTGGGTCTTTTCGATCCAATGGCAGCTGCTCAGACTCGGGCACAGCAGACCTCACCCAGTGCCCAGTGGCAGGTGCCCCCTCCAGGGGCCAGGTCCCCCACGGCCCTCCCCCCCATTGCCATCTCAGTTCAGCTGACTGACATGCAAATTAGTTTAATTATTTCTTCTTCTAAAATAAATTATATTTTGCAGTAGCTGCAATATGTTGTGTCAGGCAAAATTACATTCAATATTTTTAAACTAATTGATGCAGCCTTGAGGAAGGCTGATTGACAGCCCAGAGCTGAGCGGGCCTGCAGCCTTAACCGATTCCTAAATTAAAATTAAACGTGCTCTGGCCTGGTGCCTCCTTCTCGGTTGGCTCGGGCAAGCATCTGGGGAGGTGGCAGGTGGAGCCCCAGGGGTCGGAAGAGGCTGGGAAGGAAGGTTCCGGGAGAGTCGCTGCTGGGCAGTCTCTCACCATCCTGGTGCCCTGAGGTTCCCTAAGCACAGCAGCTGGGATGAGATTGGACATTTTGGAACGGAGGCTTGTGGTTTTTGCTGACAACTGTGGAACGGGAGTCTCCTTTGTACCAAGGACACAGGAACGAACAAGAACAACATGGTCCTTTGGTGTAGGGGTAGAGACAGACACCACTCCAGACTGTGACAAGAATTGAAAGGCTCAGGGACTGAGAATGCGCAGCAAGAAGTCCTGCCCCAGTGGGTGTGGGGACTTTTCCCATGGAGCAAGTGACATTTCTACCCAGATGCAACTGGGAAGTAACCAGGGGAAGGGGAAGGTGGGAGGGAGATTGCTCTGGGGAGACTGATGGGCATATGCAAAGGCCCTGGGGTCAGAGTGTGTGGGAGGCTTCAGATCTCTTACAAGGAAGAGAGTCACTCATGGGGCATTTAGACCCAACTGAGCAGGAAGCAGAGATGGATGGGGCCAGGGGGAAGGGAAGAGGACACAGGCGTGGCCTAGTGAGCAGAAGGATGTGTCACCTTCCCCCGAGAAAGGCAGAAGACACACATCAAGCCCCTGTCATGGGTCTGTGCCTCCCCGCTTTATCCTGTCAACTGTGGACTGAGGTAGGAACTTGAGTCAATGCTGTTTTGTGGATGAGAAAACAGGCTCAGAGAGGTGACGCCTCCTCCCTGGGGTCTCATGGCAGAACTGACAGAGCTGGTCTGGATGAGGGGACCTGGTTTCAGAGGGAGAGTTTCTAGCTAACAGAGTCTTTTAATTCCTCAGATGCCAGAACCCTTCTAAGCCCCAAAGGCCCTGCCTCCTCCAGGCAGCTCTCCTTGACTGCCCTCAGCCCAAGCCCCGTACTCTCTCCTACAAGGTCTCGTGGCATGAGTTAGACGGCCAGCCCCCCCTGGCCTTGACTCTCCTTCCATTTATCTTCCTCCCTCTGCCCTGGGTCTGCCCTTCAGTTCCTTCCTGATGGCTTGATGCTTGCCCTCACCACCTTGTGCACATACATGGCTTCCTGGGATGCTCGCTAGCATGGCTTTTACTGGGTACCGTGTGCGTGTGCGTGCGTGTGTGTCTGACTGTCTGTCTGAGTGCAGGTGCATGTGTGAACGTTTACTTGGAGGCCTGAGAGCAACATCAGGTGCCATTCTCAGGAATGAATGCCATCTACCTCTTTGGGGCCAGGGTCTCTCACTGGGGCTTGCTGATTAGTCTGTGCTGGCTAGCCAGTGAATCCCAGGGGTTCCCCTGTCTCTTCCACCTCAGCTCTGAGGTTACAAGAATTTCCCACCATGCCTAGCACTTTTATATGGGTTCTGGGGATTGGACTCAGGTCTGTGCTCTCAAAGCAA